AGGGGTATGATTGATGCAACCAGCCTCCATGGCTCAGGGAAAAAATGTGACTTTAAAAGCGGCCCACAATGACTGACTCTTGCCAAACTCTAGAGACAGTTAAGAGAGCGAGTGAGAACAGGTGAGAACGTGAATGCCTGTTGGTCACCACCAGGCTGGGGAGCCTCTGTCTGGGGTGCCCAGACCACCTCACAGGCCATGGGCCATTCCACAGTGGAGGAGCTAGGGTTCAGCCACCCACCCAGTGGGTTGGGCACATGGCCAGCGCACAGCTCCCTGTGACCTCATGTGGATCAGCTGCCCCTTGCTTTGGATGGGACCTTTGGCCTCTTGAATGACCTGTTTAAGGAACCTGCTTTCCCTCCAGCAGCTGCACAAGGGGCAAGGGTGGCAGGCAGCCCTGAGCATCAGCCCTACCTTCAGGGGTGAGGTGAAGCCACCAGCGGATGGAGGGTGTCTGGAAACCCAAGAGGCCCTGCCCTGTGTGTGTCCCCTGTGAGGCTGCAGTAGAGGACTCCTGGCCTCCTGCCTCCCTCCTGAGGTGCAGTGCGCTGTTTTGCAACCATTCCAGACCTGGCAGGTTCTTGGCTGATTTGGACAAATGGAATTTTGGAGCCTTCAGTATCTTTAACATTCCTTTAATGCTGAGTGAGGGAACCGGACTCACAAGCAGGCAGGGAGGCAGGGTGGGCCTCCTACCCCCCATGAATCGCCCCCGCCAGCTCCTCAGCCCAGGTGCCCACAATTGTAGGTGTGCGTGTCCTGTGCTCACACTCCCAAGTGCCTTTTGCAATAACACGTTATCATGTGTGGGCAATGACTCCTGGGCGGCAAGCAAGCCCGCAGGTGGTAGCTGTAGAGCCCGAGGACCCTGTGTCCCCTATAAGGCAGCAGGGAGACAGTGGAAGATCAACTGTTGAAGGGGAGGACAAAGGTTTGAGGCCTTGCTGTACACCAAGTAACTGAGTGCAGACACCATAACCTCTTCGCCTGCCACAGGACAACACCCAACGTTGTTGACTACAAAGGGGCTTGTCGGAGAGAGTTGGCAGGTAAGCAAAGGGCCTTACAAACAATACAGGGCGGGTCATCCTCATTCCAAGGGGAGAGACAGGGCCGGTGCCCCCTCGGGTGCACCAGAAGATGAGGAGGATGGGGGGGGGGGTTGGATGGGATTTGTGATATTAAGACTTCTAAGTAAAATGTCTGTTTGGTCCTCACACAGATGACCAAAATATGGTTCTCGTATGTTATTTGGTCTCCATGCACAGGTCCCGGCTCACACCTCACAAAAACCTTGGCATTTCCTAAGAGTTAAAAGCGTCTTGCTATGTTAGTTTGGAAAGCACCTGGGGGTGGGGGTGGGAGCTGGTGATTTGAATTCAGTCGCCCGTGGCCATTGAGATCATCAGCCTAAGGAATGAAGCCTCCATGGACCCCCCAGGGGAGGGGTATTGGGGAGATGCCAGGGGACCCAGAGCATGTCCACGTGCCAGATTGCCCGACCCTGAGCTTGAGAACAGATGCGCCTTTGTTTGGGACCTCGACTTAGGTTTTTCTTCATCTGGCTGTGGATTCATAACCTTTAGCATACTTTGAAGCGAACTGGTGATCCAGTGAGTAAACCGGTTTCCTGAGTTGTGTGCGCTGCTCTGAGGAGGGGGTGGTGGGAAGCGCCCGTCTGTAGCCCCTGGTCAGAAGCTCAGGAGACAGTCTCAAGCGGAGGGCAGTCTTGGGAGAGGGAGCCCTTAACCTGTGGCATCAGATGCTGTCTCGGGGTAGAGTCAGAAATGAACTGAGTTCTCAGACGCTCTGCTGGGGTGTGAGGATGGTTGTTGGCATAGGGGAGCCTCCCCATACTTGGTGGGCATCACTCTTGGGACACTGTGAGTTCTGTTGTTTCCTCCCCCGGAGGGGCCTGTGTTGTATTCAGTGCCCAGGATGCGGCTCGGGGAGCGGTGGACTGATGCAGGGTATAGAGGGCTAGGTGACTGCCTGCCCCCCAACTCTGGCTGCTCCAGCAGCATATTTTGTGTCCTGAGGCCCGTGTCCTCCTCTCAGCTGACTAGATCAGCAGTCAACCTATATAGGCTCTTGGTGACACATAGGAAAATGAATGGGACCGATGGGATCCTGTCACCCAAGAGAGTCTAAACTGAGATATGTGTAGGAAAGGTATCAGGCTTTTCTGCCCTCCCGCCATCAGGATTGATGATGGATCCCTGTGGTCCCGAATGCATGCCTGATGGCGGGCACCTGGAGTAGGGTGTGGGCATGGGTAAGTGGATACACCTGGGCTGAGAGACTGGGCTTATGGGGGCGGCGTCACGGGGACGCCAGCAGAACACATCACCAGGAGGAAAGCAGAGCAAAAGAGAAGCAGAGACCATGAGAGAAGGCCAGAGAGCTCAGAAAGAGTGAAGACTTGCTGGGGGCTAGGAGGCTTGCCAGCATCCCGGCCCCCCAGCACCCCTGCCTGCTGTGTGCCCAGTAAAATCCCAAAAGCCTGCAAAAGCTACCAAGGCTCCAGGACTCCTCCTTACCCCGCCTGCTAGAATCATAGAGAACCAGCACTGTGACATTCCTGCTGCTACAATATGCTATGCCTTCTATGTGTGTGTGTGTGGTGGGGAGGGGGGTGCTAGCAGGGAGGGTACCACAGTGCTGTAGGTGATCGGTCAGCAGGTGTAGGGCTGGAGCAGCCAGGGCACATAGCAGAGGCCGAGAAAATCATCTTGTAGGTGAATCAAACTCCTGTGCGCCAGGTGCTGTTGTAGTTTCTGTTTTTCTCATGTAAATCATTCTAGAATTAGTGTTTTATAGATGAGGTTGAAGTCACAGAGCTGGCCTGCTCCAAGCTGCCCACTCGGCGGTGCTGGACTCAGGCAGGTGCTGACTCCATGGGACTGACCTGGGGCTGCTCTGTGCACTACAGTGTGCCCTGGGCGTCCTGGGCCTCTTTCCTGGAGACACCATCAGTGGGTCTCTGTTTTTTGCAACTTAAAGTGCCTGATGAAAATTTCAAAGAAAATCTGGCAGGGCAAAGGGGGAAACTTTTGGGTCAGGGCCTTTCTAAGCCTCCAGACCCCCTTGGATCAGCGTCACGAGGCTTGGTTCCATGGGTCACTTATTTGAGAGGCTCCCCATGGGTTACCATCAAGAGCTGGCAGCATGGGCTGGGGGCGGTTGCTTGCTGGGTGCCTCCCCAGGCCAGGAAATACTTGCAGGGTGATGACATGTGCATGCCCGGGGCAGGGCTTGAGAGCAACAATGAGCCCTGTGGTGCTAGAAAAGGAGTTCGGGTGGTGGTGTTGCAAATGCCATTCATATTTGTGTCTGCAGAGAAACACTATTAATACTGAAGGGCTGTGTCCTGGAGGGGCGGGTGGGTGGGCGGGAGGTTCGTGGGGGGTGATGGTGTGACCCCAAGTATTTGTTCCCACAAAGTCTTTGTTCTGGTAGAAGGGGTGGGATGTGGGGCTGGCTCCCCCCATCTCCCAGGAGGTTTTGTGTGTGAACAAGGGGTCTGTAGACCAAGAACTGGGGGACAGGAAATGCCTGGATTTCATAACATCTGACCAACTTGAGGTCAGCTGGGCAAAGCCCTCATCAGGAATAGCAAAAACCTGGCCTCCCTCCCTCACAGCCCCTCTGTTCTCTTCCTTATAGGAAGAGGCTTTTAGACCATTCTCCAAGGTTGGCCTACTCGCTGACATCACCCCAGGGGGCCAAGAGCTGTGGGGGGGGGGTGTGGGAGGGATGGTAAAGGTGGTGACAAGTAATCTGATGCAGTTAAATCACTAAAGATTATTGTTTCCTTAAAAAAAAAAAAAGTATCCTAGGCAGAGAAATGGAGCACCCTAAGGTTCTATGATCCCTTCTGACTAGGACAGCGAGAGACCCTGTAAGCTTGAGAATGGGGCTGAGGGTGGGGCTGGAGGAGGTCAGGCTGCCATGAGGCGCTGCCGCTGGAAGCTGTCTAGGCCAGCCCTGAATTCTAGGGGAAACTTCAAGGGCAGCTGTCTTCAGTGGGTGGTTGCAGCACTGGGGTACACCAGATGATCCTTTGGGTTACCTGATAAAAAGTGCTGTGTAAATATCATCCTTTGATGGTCTCACTCATAGCAGGAATCTAGAAAACTTAAATAATGGACCAGGAAAATGAAAAACTATAAGAAAGTGAAAATCAAAATCAACAAAAAACTATGAACCAGAGACACTTTTAGGGGGCGGGGGCGGGAGGGGAGGGATTGGGGTCAGAATGGGGGGCGGCAATTGTATGGGGAATATAACAATAAAATTTATAAAAAAAAAAAAAAAAAAAAAAATAAATAAGGGTGGTCTTGAGGACTCTTTGACAATAACACCAAATATTGTCAAGGATACAAAGTAACAGGAATCTGTTTTTTGCTGGTTTAAATATAAAAGGATAAGTCATTTGGAAGACAAAAAAAAAAAAAAAAAAAAAATATCATCCTTTGAGTTAAATGCATGTTTTATAACACACACAGGATAGCACTATTTGTGTACTCGTATGGCCCTCAGCACCCTGGCCCATCTAGCAGGGCCTGGATCCTCACCACACAACCCTCTGCTGGTTTCTCACCAGGTGCTGAAGGTGCATCATCCACCTCCCAGGAGGTGAATCTGGCCCTGGTCTCTCCCAGCAGTGCCAGTCCTCCTACTCCCCACCCCAGGTCATAATAAGTCCTACTCACTGGCCTGCAGGCCTCTCTGCCTCCGTCTACCCATCTATCCACCCACCTCCAGGTTTCAGCCCCGCTTCATACTCTTTCCCAAGCCCTGCCAGCGTCACTTTTCCTCTCATTGGCTCAAATCATAACCTCCTCAGCAACCCCCTTCCCGCCCCCACCTCCTCCAGGCCCCTGTGGCCAGCCTGGCCTTGGGACTCTGGGCCTCCCCACTCCCTTCTATCCCCTCCACTCCAGAGCCTGATCTAGGCTGTTCCAGGCCAGTGAATGAACACAATGCTTCAGACAAATCTGCTTTCCCTTCAAGGATCTCTTTATTCAGCCTTGGCCCCCTCTGAGGCTTCCTACAGGGGGATGCTTCACGTTGCTATGCATTTGGTGCCTTTTCTAGTACCAACAAGTGACCACCAATATCTCCGGCAGCCCAAGGCAAATCAATGACAGCATTGTTTTTTTTTTTTTTTCCTTTTACTATTTTTCTAACAGAATTCCAGAAAAAAAATAGATCTCTATCATATATATATTTATACACTCACATACACATAGAGCCAGCCCCTGGCCCAGCAGGAAGGTCAGGAGGCACAGCTCTTCTGGAAAGCACGTGGGGTGTGCAGGGCTTAGCCAGTGCGCGAAGAGGGTGGTTTTCCACTAGCCCGGGGAAAAAGACTGGGCTATGACGAACCAGGGCTGTCCTCACAGACCTTCCCACATATCTTAAAACAACTGTATCTGATAGCGCTTTAAGACCCAAAGTGCAGATAAAAAAGGAATTCCCTGATAGGCTCATAGGGGCTGACTTCTTGGGGAGAATTCCAAGAGCATTATGCAGCAGGATAGGGGAGCCAGTGCGGAAAATACCCACCCACCAGCTCCTGGGACCCCTGCAAACAGGGTGTCATGTACACCGAGGCAAGGGGCCCAGCTCTTGCTTTTTCCTGGGGTCTCCAACCACAGTCCCCATTTGGTGCTGGGCAGGGGGCACCAATGGATGGCCAGAGTGGGGCTTGAGTCACCCCATAAGGCAAAAATAAGTTATGTGTGGTGAGATGGGACAGAGACTGAATATCCACATTGCCCCTAGAGAAATCTATACTGTACACATTGTCCAGAAAGGTAAGGCTTGAAGGAATGACATGTTGATGCAAGGCATCAGAAAGGCTGGGTCCCACTCTGGGGGCTACTGGTCAAGGGCCTGAGGGGGCTGCGGCATGATTCCAGGGAGCTGGGGCGGTAGGCATAGGTCAGTTAGGTCCGGTGCTCAGTGTCCCTGGCCAGACACCAGTAGCCCCAAAGGCATTTGACAACAAAATCGGGGGAGGGGGAAGCAGTGGCATTCAGTTGACCACCTAAAGCAAAAAGGGGCCACACTTGGCCTGATCCACTAACTCAAAGGCTAGGAGAGGAACCCAGACATCCCAAAGGCCTGCGAGTGATTAAAAATCCTATCCTGAGACTGGAGTGTGAGGCCAGGGCTATGGGGCTCCCCGAGGCACAGAGGCATGGGAGGGGGTGAAGGTCAGCTGTGAAGGTCCCCTGTCCACGCTCTTGGGGCGCATGTCAGTCATGACTCTAAGTCACTTAGGCTTCAAGCCAACTGTCTTCCGAGACACTGAGGGAAAACCTGGGAAAGCTCTCAGCTCAGCCAGGAGCAGCTGGGGGTTCATTCTTGCTGCTGCAGACAGAGGTGAAGGTCTGGGATGTGGAGGAAGGGCAGCGCGGTACAAGGCCTTCTAGATGGGTGGGAGGTATCCAAGCCACACAGACCCTTACTGCACGTTTAGCTGCACAGCCACTCTGGGGAGGGTCCCCATGGAGATGTGCCTCCTGGCTACTTCCTCGCTCATAAATGACACAATGTCTGCCTGAGTCCCAAAGAGCAAGGGATTTGCTTTTGATGCAAATCTGGTCCACCCAGCTCCAGATGAGCAGTTCCCAGCCAGCTCTGTAGGAAAACTGCGTATGGGGGAGGCGAGGAGAACCAGGGCTGCAGCCTGCAGACATGTCCCTAGAGATGTATTTCCCCAAGGCCCCAGGCCTCCCCTGCCCTCGCTTGCCCCTGTCTGCCTGTGACTGCCCATCCCTGTTGGGCACTCCTGCCCGCCGCAGGGCCTGTCAGAGCTCTCTGGGGATGATGCAGAAGGACAGCACAGGGCTACTGGCCTCCAACTCCAGGGCGGTGAGGAAGCAGTCGACGGCAGCCTCGCTCTGGCCCTGGGCCTGCAGCACCTCGCCCAGGCCCTGCCACGCCTCATGGCAGGTGCTCTGCCTCTCCACGGCATCTCGCAGCACCTTCTGGGCCAGGCTCTTGTGGCCCAGCCGACTCAGCATCAGACCCTGGGGAGCAAGGATAGGGCAGAGTTAGCAAGGGCATCCTGGGCAGGGACAGCCTGGTCGTGGCCCCAAGGCGTGGGAGGGGGCTGGCCCAGCACCAGTCAGGCCTTGACCCAGCCCTGCGGCCCATATCGCCCACTGTGGGAGCTGTTTCTCTTTCAAAGGACAGGTTTTCAAAACAGCAGACTTTGAGTCTTCCTGTTACCAGCTGGGGGAGTCCTGGAGAAGCCACCACTCTGGCCCTCAGTTTCCTCTCTCACTGAGAAAGATCACTGCAGCCACCCCTATGAAAAGCACCTGAACAGTGTCGGTGCATGTGAGCAGCACCAGGCCTATTTCTCTCAGGTCTTGCTGCTGCAATAAGGACCTGCCCTTCTCCCCAGGGACACTGCGACACGGAGGAATCTATGCTATGGGTTTTGGACTCAAAACTGGCAGGAAGAACCTCAAGCTGGAGGAGGAGGGTGAGGGGCAGTGCCTTTGCCTGCATCAGCAGCGTTTTCTGGGGACGTCTGGCCTAGCAGGTGAGGATCACAGGAGGCCAGGGACCAGGGGCAGATGCTGGGTGACAGGAGAGGCTCTGGGAGGACATGTCAGGGGTGGACAGGCCAGGGGTTCTGCTTGGCCCTGCTGTTTGACCCCAACAACATTGTTCCAACAACATTGTTGCCAGAGAGATAGAGGAAATGACAGAATTATCATAAAAAGGGGCTGGGAAGTGAAACTGGCACACTGTCCCCTCTTCATCCTCTTCCACCCACACTAGGAAGGGCGCAAGGGGGTGGCAAGCAGGGGGAGCAGTCAGGGCCCTCTTTCAACCTCTAGTCCAAGAAAGGCTGCTTTGTACTGCCCCACTGATCTGTAGTCCAGCCCCAAAGGCAGCACCACAGAGCCCTCCTCTTGCTCAAAGATATGAAGAAGAGCCCAAACGACACGGACTTCCTGGACAGGCAGGGGCTGGGGTGGGGAGGGGAGCTGCCTTCTGTGTGCTTGGAGCCCCCTCTCAGGTGCCCGCCCACTTACGGCCATGTACATTTTTAGCTGGAACATTTTCCTCCTCACTGCGCTCCCCAGAGTTAGGCCCTGCGTTGCTATGGAGACCCACTGGGGAAGATGCACATGCCTGATTTCATAGAGCCCTCTGAGAGCTTGGAACAGGGCCAATTAGGCAGGAGTGAGATGGTGCTCAGGAAGCCCTAGGAAAAATCTCAGAGGTGCTGGCTGGTGGGCCTGGGGCAGGCAGGGGGTGGTGGTGTGTGAAAGGAAGGGGGCATGGTATTCATAGCATCTCTTCCACCTGGAATGAAGCAGGAACCATGGGGACATGTGGGTGACAGTGGAGCCGTGGGCAGGGCCTCAGGCAGGCCCATGGGCTGGCTAGATGGGAGCCATGCTGATTTGAGGCTGCCCAGAGCTGAAGGACAGTGCCCAGTCTGGCCAGCGGGGCTCCAGGCCAAGCTTTTTCTGCCGGGACCCTGAGCAGTTCAGGATGGAACAGGGCCCACAGGAAGGAGGGAGGCAGGCGAGATGACAGGCCGCCAGACACCAAAATTAAGCACCAAAAATGGAAGGTTCGAGCCCCATGAGTGCTGCCTGAGGGGGAGTGAAAGGACAAACAGAGGGCAGGCCAGCAGTCTCCAGAGTTGGGGGTGGGCCTGTGGTGGCTTTTACAAACTAAGTTTTTTATATTGAGCTTCCACAGGAGATTTGCATTGAAAAAAACAGCGCTACTGCTAACAAGATGTTTGAAAACCCCTGATCTCAACTATGTGGGTGTTTGGCAGGCTGAACAGGGGTGTGTGTGTGTGTGTATGTATGTGTGTTGGTTTTACGCTCAGTTTGGGAGGTTGGCAGTAGTCTCCTCTGCATGTTCTATGGAGGAAGAAGCTCAGGGGCCCACGGCCGATTTTTCTGAGCAGTGGTTTCCTCATCGGTGAACTGGGGAGCCAGTAATCCTTACTGACGGGCTGCGGTGAGGATTCTGCACTGGCGGACTAGAGAGCCCATAGCCAGAGTGAGTGGACAGCCAGTGGCAGTGTCCCCAAGATGAGCAGAACGCCTGTGGATTAGGGGGATGGGACAGCTGAGTTCTCCACAGCGCAAGGCCCTTTGTGGGGGAAGACTGGCCTGGGTGGGGGTGGATCACGTCCTCCCCACCCTGGGGTGCTGACCTGAGAGCCTGAAAGGAGACACCAGGCGGGTGGGGGTCAGACTGGGGCCTGGAGGCCCAGGGTCTGTAACAGGATCTGCTGCCACCTGCCCGAGACACCAGCCGCCTTCGTGTTTGGTAGCAACTCGGAGCTGTTTGCTGCCTGACAACTGGGCGGGGCCCACCCTGGGAAGATGTGAGGTCTCACCTGCTCTGCCCCCAGCCTGGCGCTGTGCCAAGGGCCTGCTGTCATCCCTACCCCTGGCTGCCTGGAGAACCTGTCCCCAGGGAGATGGTGGGAACACAGAAGCTGGACCTCAGTGCCATCCAATATCCCTGCAGACTTGACTCCTCCCGCCCTTGTGAGGGGCAGCCGGGAGACTAGCCCTCCTGAGTGATGCCCAGCTTTGACCCTGACCTGTGTTGCCCTCGGGCAAGGTTTGGAAAGCCCCATGCGAGTTGTACACGGCGATGGTGCAATGTGCCTTGAAGTGGAGAGATGGGTAGACTGTGGCGCTCAGGGCTATGATGGAGCTCCCCAGAAATTCCTGACAGTGTCCTTTTGTTCTTCTCTCCCTTCCTGGATCTTAGGGAGGTGGGAGCACTGGGTCACATCTTGCTTACTCTGCTCCCACAGGAAGACTTCCCCAGGACAGCAGCACTCCTGCCCTGGTAAGTGACTCTGCACTGCCTTTCCTGAGCCTGAGGGCAGGGGCCCTGGCCCCTGAGGCCTTGCTATTCGCCACAGAGAAGCAGCTCAGTAGAGCTGAATAGGAGGATCTCAGACTCAGAGTCAAGCACACCAGAGGCCCTGATGTGGGCGCAGTACTGCGTGGGGTCACAGAAACAGGCAGCCCAAGAGAACGAGGGGGAAGCGGACCCTGTCTACCCCCTTCAGGATTTCCACTGCGCACCATCTCTGTTCACCCCATCTCTTCAGAGCTTGACATTCTTGTCCAGAGGGAAGGGGCAGCAGGAAGTTCCTGGCCATGGAAGCCTCTTTCTTTTGAGGGGAGGCTTGCCTGGGAAGCAGCTCCCAGTGCTAGGCCATCTGCAGGCCAGGCTGAGCGCTCTACCGCCCCTACCCTCCAGTATTTATAGAAGTTATTTTGGGAATTTTCTTTCTGAGCTCAAGGCACATTCCTGGGATTCTGTAACAGTCTGTCCAGCTGGTTCAGCTGGGAATCAGCTGGAGGCTGCTGGAGCCTCCTGGTCCCTGGAGCCCTTGGCTTGGGGACCACAGGGCTGTAGGGAGGAGTCTGTGGTGGGGCCACCTCTGAGGCTGTTCCACAGGAAGGATCCCTCCCTGCACCTGCCCTGGAAATGTGGCGCTGACACACCCTAAGAGGGAGGTGTCACATTCCAGCCACTCATGCTCTTCAGCATGCTGGATTCTCCCAGGTGTGTCAGCCTCAACCTGTCCAACTAGCCTGGGAAGGCAGCCTCTCTCCAGGCCGAGTACCTAGTCCATATAGCACCACAGCCCTCCAGGCAGCTCCAAGGCCACAGCTTGGTCCTACTGTCCTATTGGATGAAGGCCAAATCTTTTTAGTCCCCATCTGCAGGCTCTCATAGGGAGAGGCCCCTGCTGGGTACCCCAGACTCACACAGAGTCCAGCTTAGATGGCTTCAGCAGAAATGGCTGTGCTTCCTGTGTGGGGGAACCCATGCCTGTCCCTTTCCCCTCCTGGGGTCCCCAGGGCTGAGAAGTTAAAGACCATTGGGCCTCTTCACCGAGGCTGGGGTGTGGGGGTGGAGCTCATGGGGCAGCTCTGGTTGGATGAAAGGCTGAGCTGCATCCTAAGAGGTGCTGCCTCTCAGCAGGGGGCTTGGCCTTTCCTCCTTCCCCTTTCTGGGCTGGTTTCACATTCTGGGCTGGCTGTGGGCTCCACCCACCCTGGAACATGGCCCAGCCTCAGGGCTTGGTCAGGAGGCTGCAATGAGGCCTCTGCACTCTGGTTTTGGAAGCAAAGGCTCAGCGATGGGCAGTGACAAGGGGGTTCCATAGCAAGAGCGCCTCCCTCTGAGCAGGAGGCAGAGACTATGGGGGTGGTGATGGCCTCCTGGATGAGGGAGGCAAGAACTGGACTCTGGGCATGCACCCTCTAGACACAGTGAATCTTTCAAACCATTGATTTGGGGGCTAAATTAAGGCGACAGTGCTCAACTATCATTCTGATCTGAATTGCTGACAGCAAGCTTCCTGTCCACTTCCTCACCAGGGTTGGTATGCACACACCAGCCTAAGGTTTTCCTAGAGTCCTGCACCCAGAGCCAGGGGAAGTTGCTTTCATTCACATGAAAGTCGGAGAGCCTGGGGCGAGGGCACAGGGTGTGTGCTGGGGACTGTGCCAGCCCCATGGTGAGCAGGGGCCTCTGAACACCAGCGAGGCCATGCTGGGGGGACAAGCCCTTGAACCTCCTTCTACAGTAGGCCACCAGAACTCTCTTCCTCGAGTTTCCCATCAGGGAATGCAGATCTGGGGAGGGATGTGGAAGAGTAAACTTACAATGAAACTAGGCGGTTAAGTGGCCCACAAGATATTCTTACTGAACTTCTGCCAAACAAAAGCAATATTCTACCACACTGGGGCAGGCAGACAGAGACACCACTGATGAGGCTGTGAGTGCAAGGAGAACTCAGGTTCTCAATACATAAAGCTGAGGGCAAGACTCAGGCTGCCTGGCCCCTCCTGGCCACCTGCCACAGCTCAGGAAGCCAAGGAACAAAAAGCCTAGATTTAACAGGGTGTTCTGGACCTGTGCATGGTACAAAAGCAATAGCCAGCAGGACCCCAGGAAAGAGACCCTGCTACTTGGGTGCTATCAGGCCTCATATGGCATCAGGGAACCT